ACTTCCTTCTTTACTTCTAACCTTTTTTCTTCCTTCCTTCCTTCCTTCCTTCCTTCCTTCCTTCCTTCCTCTCTTCTTTCTTTCTTTTTTCTTTCTTCCTTCCTTCTTCAAAATGAAAATCCTTCCTTCTTTCCTTCCTTCCTCTCATCTCTCTTCTTCCCTTCTATCTTCCTTCTTTCCTTCTAACTTCTTTCTTCTCCTCCCTTCTTTCCTCTCTTCCTTCTCTCCCTTCCTTCCCTTCCTCCCTCCCTCCTTTCTTTTTTTCCTTCCTCTCCTCTCCCTTCCTTCCTTTTATCTCTCTTCCTTCTTTACTTCTTTCTTCTCCTTCCTTTCCTCCCTCGTTCTATCTTTTCCTCCCTCCCCCCCCCCCCCCTTCCCTCTCTCTCCCCCCCCCCCCCCCCTCTGTCTCCCTCTCTCCTTGGCTCTTGGAGGGATACCCTGAGCCTTTCTATCCTCTTCCTTCGAAGGTGGAGCAGAAGTCCTCGGCCCAGCTGCTCATGACTTGGGGCCTGGAAGACGTCGACCACGTTTTCACCGAGGAAGACTATCACACCTTGACAAACTACAAAGCCTTCAGCCAGTTTATGAGGTGGGTTCTTGAATATCAGCCGGGGTGGGCAGGCTGCGGGGGGGGGGGGGGAGGCGAGGGAGATTCAACCCAGCAGGGTTTAAGGTTAACCCTCCCTCACCTTCTCCCCAAATAAAACTCTGGTCTAGGTCACGCTTGGGAATACCGGGTAGTCCCCGTTCTGCAACGATTGGTTTAGCAGCCCCTTGAAGTTAACGAAGCCGTTGAAAAAAGGGACTTAGGACCAGTTTTCACGCTCGATGACCAAGGCAGGCTCTGCGTGGTCATGTGATCAGAATTAGAGGGCCTATGTACGACGGTTGCAGCATCCTGGGGTCATGTGATCACCGTTTGTAGCCTTCCCAGGCGGCTTCTAACAAGCAAAGTCAATGGGAGAAGCCTGCTTCACTTAACGATCGCTCGGTTCCCTTAACGACGGCGGTGATATGCTGAACTGTGGCAAAGTAAGGTCGCAAAACGGGGCAAAGCTCACTTAGCAGCTGTCGGACTTTAGTAACAGAAATTTGGGGGTCGGTTGTGCCTGTAAGTTAAAAGACCTTTTTACCTACAGACCTCCCTAGATTGAAACAGCACTTAATCGTTACACTTTATTCATTTATTTAGAGCGCTTTTTGGTGGCCTCTTGAAAAAGAGGTCACCTTAAGAAAAAGAGTCATGGTAAAAATCGTGGTTTTATAAGGATCCTTGGGTTAAAAACACACATCCACTCGAACACACCTCTTACATCTCCTAGTTCCCCCCGGATGACATTCCCTGATAGATGAGATGTGGCCTTTGTGTGCAGGGGGGTCCATCTCTCTCTTCGTCCCCCTCTCTATCTCTTTTTCTCATCTATCTATCATCTACCTACCTACCTATCCCTCTACCATCTGTCCGTCCATCCATCCGTCCATCCATCCCTCTCTCATCTATTGATTTATTGCATTCCGTCTCTCTTTCTCTTGTCTGTCTGTCTTATCTATCTTTCCATCCATCCATCCATTGATCGTATCTATCTCTCTTTCTCTCATCTATCAATCGATCGATCTGTTGTATCCATCTGTCCATCTCTCTCTCTCATCTGTCCATCTATCTATCCATTCATCTATCTGATCTACTGTATCCATCTCTCTTTCTCCCATCTGTCTGCCTGTCCATCCATCCTAACTAATCTATTGTATCCATCTCTCTTCCCTCCTGTCTGTCCATTCATATCTGTCTGTCTGTCTGTCTGTCTGTCTGTCTGTCTATCTATCTATCTATCTATCTATCTATCTATCTATCTATCTATCTATCTATCTATCTATCTATCTACCATC